GAAACTCAAACTGATTCAATGTAGAACACCAGGATCACAACTAACATTATCGTTGTTCATAAATGTCAAAACTTGTGGCCAAATTCATCAACCTCGCTCTCTCACTTATCTGGATAAGAAGTTCCCTACTAATGTTATAAGCCAATATATGAAGTCCCCCATTGAAGATCATATGAAAAGTATTAATCATAGTTTATTTCTTTCCTGGACAGTGTTTCTCCACATATTTATGCATAGTTTCTTTTCATTTTTTTACATATAATAATGGAATAAAATTCAATTATAAAATCCTTTAATTTACTCTCATCACTGCTCATTCTAATTTTAAGACATAAAATAACTATAATGGCATAAGGAGAAACAACTTGAATGCCTTCAATCAAGCTAAGGTGGTAGGGAGTCTAGGATTTGCCATAATGAAAGGGTATTTTGTATAGGAAGTATCAAAAAGTGTCAAGGAAGATGTGTTAGCAAGGGACTAAGGTATGAGTGAGATCAAGATAAAAACCTAACCAATGGGTAAAGTATATAAAGTGCACCACAAAAATAGAAAATCCAGGATATGATTTAGGCTTTTAGTGTGAAAAATAGATATAACCATAGATTTTGAAACTAATTCAAAATATTAAATTGTTATGTTTATACATGTTTTGATTTGGTATGTTTATACATGTTTTGAATTTTTTTTTTTTTAAGTTTTAATTTTTTATTTGGATTTTATTTGAAGTCTAGATCATAAAGAATTCTAATATGACAACAAAAATCTAAATGTTTATGCATCATATCTCCTTTAAAAGTCAAAATATCTTCAACAATTAAAATAAAAAATTATATGCAAATATAAGTTGGTAATTCAAAAAAAAAACATACATTTATTCAGAATTTTTTTAAATTAAGATTTTGAATTTGGAGGTATTTCTTTCAAATATGTAATCACCATTTGTGTACTATCCCACGAATCTAGTTTTGTTCCAAAGATAAGCATATTTAAAGTTACTTTGTTCAATTAGCCTATTAACAAATTTATGTAAGCTAGAAATGTCAAAAGAAAATGCAAAATGCACGTGTAAAGGCATCAACTACATCAACATGTATTTGGGAATTAAAATCACAAACTATCGAGGGCTTAGACAAGAGCCTAACAATTTTAGTAAGACAATAGCGTTGTGCAACTCTTGCAATCTCGTTGTCTCCATGAAAATTTAACTTGCAATGTGAGATACATCATGAGTGTTTTTGCAAGAAAAAAAATAATTCATTTTGGAGACACTCCTAAAACTAGTATTCTCAGCAATAGAATCTAGCTTTAAAATGGAACACTAGCAAAAAGCTAATATCATGCGAGAACTCCCTAGCAATAATTAGGCCACACTAATATTTCCTAGGTCGTCGTCAGAACAACAGCATTATCATTGACCTTCTCAGTATTCTCATCCTCCAAATCATGATCTTTCAAAATAAAACACTTGGGCTCTACATTAAGGTTTTAAAAACCAAACAAGACAACTCAATATGTTCGATTGTGAACTGAGTAAGTCCAATCTGGGTAATCTTAAGAATCATTTTAACATCGAATTGATAAAAATCGATGTGAACCGTCAGTTGAACCGCTAAACCAATCACTGATCATTTTGAATTACCTAGCTAATTACTTTTCATACAAGACCTAATTCCGTAAATTATTTTAAATTAAATATAAAATTATGAATTTAAAAATTTTAAGTTTAATAATTAATATCAGTTTAACTATGCTAATTCATAACATGCCCACCACGTAAGTGACTTTGGAGCTCAAGCCATATAACTATTTTTTTTCTATATAAACAATGAAATGCTAAGTTTCCTCCAAAATGTGAGACTTAAAAACTGGAGAGTTGAAAAATGAGTTGGGCTGCAAAAAATGAAGAATTGGATTGGACTTTAAAAATATTAAATGGGCTGCAAAATGTAAGATTATTATAATAAAATTAAAATTATTATTTTTTTGCAGCATAAACTTTTTATTCTTATTACTTCTTATAAATTATATTCCTACTACAAATTATTTTTGTATATCTATATTAAATTTGTTTTTCTATTTTGAATTATATTTAATATATATAAACTGATATTTATCAATTTATCATACCGGTATAATTATATCTTGATGAGCTTTACAACAAATTTAAATGTATAATAATAAAAAATGTTACTCGTGTACAAGTGTTAATTATGTTTCCACATATTCAAATTATTGTATTTTTTAAAATTATATTAAAATAATTTTAATATTTATTACATCATCTATTTCAACTCATGATTGAACATTAAACATTTTCTTCCAGTGAAATGGTTGATTCGGTTTTCACAACCTTGTTCTACACTTTTATTGTACATGTCATTTCATATGAAATTTTACATAGTTGACATCTTTATTATCCTTAGAAGTGAATTTGATGAAGGTTTTAAAGAGGGTTATATTTTTAAGTAAATTGGGTGGAAAGTTATGTTGCAATTTTTGCCACTAAATCATTAAAAGTATCTAAATATTCTATGACAAACACATTCACTTACTTAAAAGTCATTAAATACCAATAAAGTATTTTGTTATGCTGTTGTAGGCAGCAATTAGATCATATTATCTCTTTCATCTTCACCCAATTGAGGATACGTCTTCTAACCACTCTTCCTTTGCCAAAAAAATGAAACCAATAAATATTTGCATCGCCCATAAACTTCATTTAAGCTTAAGCAACTCTCTAATAATAATCCATTTAGCATCAGTTAAGGAAATCATCAATTTGGCTAAGCAAGTCAAGCAATTTCTTAAGATCATGGACTCCATTAAAAGTGGGAGCTTCTAATTCACTTTCTAAGTTGGGTCACCAGAATATTCACCATGCCTAGTCTTATTATCTTACCTAAAATGATATATATACACTTAGTCTTGCTAAAATGGGGACCTACAAGCAAATTACTATGTGGGATAGGTACCATGGTGCTACAAGCGGTGTTTGAAAGTTAATCCGACACATTATTGTTTCAAGCAGAGTTTTTATTTTATTGTTATTCTTACCAAGGAATTATTGGATTTGTTCTAGGTTTCTAGCCTATCATTATTTTCCCTAACATTTAGGTCTCCAATTATTTCGACTAACCCCTCAAACTAAGCATTCTAACTGATTTTGGCGGCATATTGTGCCACTAGAGTTAGGGTACATATATTACAATTGAGCAACTAAATAGTTAAAATTAAATGTTTATGTAAAAGTAATTGTTGATGTGAGAGGTCTAAATGATATGAAAAATTAAAAGAATATATATAAATGTAAGCTTAGACAAAATTATAAGAAAAAACGATCCAACTAGTTAACAAAAATAATCTGAAATAATGAAATTAAATTTGTTCATGTTAAAGAAATTTAGGATTCTTATGTTTTGACCAATGTCATGGTTTAAAGACCCAAATAATATTTTGTGAAACTCACTTGCTCGCTGAGTTTGTTGGCATTCAAGTGATTTGTAAGAGGAACGTAAAAATAAAGCCCAAGCCAAATGAAAATTTAATGGAGACCAAGTGATTTATGAAAATACACTACATAATAGATAAAATGACAGCCCAAATGTCAGTAAAGAAAGGTTGCCTCATGGAAGTGTCTCTCCAAATATTGTCTCTTCAACCAAGTGATTTTATTACAAACTTGATGGGCAGCCTTGTTTTAGAGTGAAAAAATATTTTTTGAAAACAAGCCTCAAAAGATGTCTAACAATATATGGTAGCAAGGAATTAGAGATTTTGTGGAGGAATTAAAAAAATAACACAAATTATGAGTCAAATATATAAGGCACAACCCAAAAACAAAAGACCAAAATCTAACTTTATGTCTTTCGTGTGAAAAATGCATAAAACCCTAGAGCTTGAAACTACATAAAAAAATTAGATTAATACGTCTATATATGTCTTGAAAAGACTAATGAATTTTTATGGGCTCTTAGTATTTTCTAGATTTTATTTGAAGAATGGGCCATGCAATACCCTACTTTGAAAGCAGATTCTAGTGTCCAACCTTGGAAAAGAGGATAAAAAAATTTTTCTAAATTAAATGTTGATCTTTCACCAAGTTTTAAGGGATTTATATTAATCAAAGGCCAAAAGATCAAAATTTGGTCAGATCTACCGAAAACTATCCGACTCCTTTAGGATGGGATTTGGTTAGGATTTTGGTGAGGAAAAATTATGGAGATGATAAGACGATTAAGAGAGACCACATTTAGAAAAAGAAGAAACAAAATAAAAATGCATGATAAAATAACCTAACAGTCACCAAAATAATAGAGGCAATGAAAAATTAACAAACATCCACCTCCAAGGTGGAGCATAAAGCCTGGAGTTTTTGGAAGAGAGTCTATTTTTTCTTCAACATTCAACAGACGATGTCATTCAGCAAAATAATAAATAAATAGGTCCATAAGATGTCTTAATCAAGAAAAGAATTTTAAAAGGGGGAGAGAGGAAGGGCCCTCCTCTTAAAAGGGGAAAAAGAGTACAAGCATAAAAGCTTAAAAATCCTAATAAGAAAATTTTTAATGATTTTCTAATGATATAATTGATTAATTCTCTCTCATAATTTTTTAAAATTTTCTCCCATAACTTGAAATTTAAGTTCAGAAGAAAAATAAATTTTCAAATATTACCATTTAAGTCCATAACATGAAAACACAAGTAAAACCTTGCACAAAATTACAACATAAGAATTCAAATAAATAAATGTAATTAAAATACCCATCATGATCCTTGCGGTTGATTCATCATAAGTACAAAGCTAATCCTGAATAAGCCCTACAGTTTAACAACTAACTCTTCAGAATCATAGGAAAAACGCTTATAAGTCATCTTACACCTTGACATGCTACTTTTTTAAAAGAAAACCAAAAAACAAAAAAGTTAAGCCACATTTGCAAACTGTAAATGGCACCACATCCCATATCCTATAGATGAATCCAAAGTAAATTGAAATTACCATCAATTCGATTTGAAGCACTTGTTGCAGCTATTTTTTGCCTGGATGTGGTGAGTTGAGACATTTTTGTACAGAGCTTGGTCTTAGAAGTTGGAGTCGCAAATTCCTTATATACTGATTTATTAAATATTTTCTCAGCAGAATGGAGCAGTTTGTTCAGCGTATCACTCAATATTGTCCCCTGCATGAAATAAAAATGATGCATAAGCTAATGTAATATTGTCCCCTGCATGAAATAATGATGATACATACGCTAAAGTGAAGTCAAACAAACACAAACGTAGAGTAATATGAGCAAAACTTGGCAATTTAGAATCCCAAATTGGTAGAAAAAAAAAAATAGCAAAAAATGAGCAGCACAAATAAGCACGGTTTAAACAAAAATATTTACCAAACTGGACATTTTCTTAAAAAAATTACGTAAGAAAAGGAAAGATATGAAAAAGATCGACTTTCCATAGTAGAATAAGCTTTGCATCAGATTAAGCCACATAACTTACAATTGTAAAATATCACATAGGATTTTCCCTATAACTCTATTGATCATGAAATCTACTTTTGCATATAGTTAGGAGAAAAATTATGATCTCTTCCCGATGTAATTTAGATGAAAATTCTAGATGGGCAATGCGGTACTTCAGACATAATGCTAAATATTGCATCAATTTTAAGCTTAATAGTAAGAAAATTTGGTGTTGGCTATCTTTTTGTTCTTCTAAAATATTTTAATCCTTCGTTTGCCCAATGAATAATCTATTAAATCCATTGCACCGAACTTTAAAAATTACATAGTATCCCAATTGGTAGTCCATGTGAAGTCAGGTGTAGTTTGCATTTTAGTTCAATCTAATGCACCAAATTTTAAAGTCACGCGATATTAGTGTAATAGCTGAAGCCAATACTTAGAGCCATTCAATTATTTGAATGATACTTGATAAAAGTAAAAATTTAGGCGGTTGCATGGGATCCAATTGTTGGATAGAAACTCCATTGAAAGAAAGTTCACAAAAAGACAGTGCTTGGCACAGTCCCAATGCTTCATATACAAGTTAATTTTTAGACAAATAGGTTTGCGCAAATGTTTTGTTGTGATTTTATCTCATATAAATTGTGTAAAAACTGAATTGATAAGAAAAATAAAACAAAAGTTATTTTAAAATATACCCTATTTTTGCATCCCCAAAAATCATCCAAATTATTTTTATCAAAGTCTACATTTTATTCTAATCAAATTGATATAATGAAATATATATGAATTATTAATATATTTGGTTTTATAAAAATAATTTATTAAACTAATTAAACTTGTTCTAATCACCTAATTAAAAAAATTAATCACTGCAAATAATAATCTGGCTACTTCAGCAAATTTCCCTTCCTCCACTTTGGTTGCCATGCAACTGTGGGATGAATAAATAAACAGCTGAGATTAATTAATCGATTAAAACTATATTTACAGCTAATTCACTAGCTTCCCTATTAGTTTTTCTGTTTTCCCCGTGAGAAACAAGTGGAGTGCTCTGGAACGGGAAAAATGAGAGCTGTTGCTCTCGCTTACTGGTTTGACAAGCAAAACCAGTTAACAATTAGGTAGGTTTGAGGTTGTTGAGGGGTAATTAAGATAAACTTCCACTTATGTATACATTCTTATAAATATTTTCAATTATCCTAAGTCATTCTTTCAATTCTTCTCATTTCTTCTGACTGTGATTTTCAGCTTGGCTGAAAATCTATGGCAGAGATATGGTTTTGGGCTATGGGAAAGGAGGAGAAATCAAGCTTTAGATACGGTAAATTATATACAGAAAATGTAAATATAAATACATAATTATATTAATCAATAAAGCCTACATAATTTTCTTTTATTATTCTATGTCTTGCTGTGAAATGCAGCCAAACATTTGAGAGTTCATGGCAGACGGGTAAGCAAAATGGTGAAGAATTGGGAACTGCCATACTCATGTAGGTGGTCGTGAAGGAGAATGAAGAAAGGCAATTACCTTTCTCCTCCCGTGCCTGAAACCCCCACAGTCTAGTCACGCTTAGTGCTAGCCAAGAAGGCAACGACAGGAACATGGCGTGCAGAGACAACTGCCTTCCTCCTTTCATCCGCTCCTACACGAAATCATTGAGGAAGGTAAATCTCGTCTTTCTACCTTCCTCCCACCCGCTTACATGCGCATCAGCATCTCTAATTCTTGCAAAAACCATCTTCCAACAAGATTTGCTAAATCCTAGATTTAAAGCAAACCTGAGGAGAAACAAGATTTGAATATGTCATTTTTAATGTTTATTGTGTTAAGTGTTATGCGTGTAAATCCCCCAAAAAAATTATTTCAAAAATTAGAATCTCGCCCTATCAAAATAAAACAAAAAATAAATATTATTTTAACTATGTTTTTAATGTCAAAATTAATTAGGTTCATAATTTCTTATTTTCAAAATATAATAATAATAATAATAATTTTTTTTTTAGATTATACCTAATTTGGTGAATAAATAAGTTTAACTGCATAATTGTTTATATTTTATTTTCCTACAGGGTGCTAGATTGCTAGTCAAACCGTTGAATTCGTAGAGGTACCACGTTTGTCACCTCAAAGTAACTGTTTTTTATTAAAGGATAAATGTACCCTTCAAGTTAAGGGAATTAAAATTTCTTATTTGTAGTAGATCCAGAACTATTTCATATGATTATCAGTCATACCTTTTCTACTTCATATATTTTTATATAGGTCTTATTTATTGCTTGACATGAAATAACCAACTATCTTAAATTATTGCTACAAAATTCCTGCATAATTGAGTTAGTCCTGCAATTATGATAATTTCAATTCATGCACATTACTTGTATGAATTTGCATTTATCATATCGCAAACCTGCATGAAATAGCATATTTTTTATATATCATACACGTGAAAGATTTATTATGCTGGTGTGTGATGGAATGTAAGGTTGTGAAACCCTTCTGGATATTGGCTAGTCGGGTCGATGGGCCCAAAGAGTGACTACTCTGCAGGAAATATCAGGTTTCTTTGGGTTGAGATTGACCTTCCCGATTTCAGGGTGTCTATTAAAAACGACTATATATATAATAAGTTGAAAATAATTGCATGCTTTCTTATGATAAGTAAGTATATTTGATTGTTATCGCTCTTTTATTGTCTTATGATGTTATACATGCACGCAGTAATTGTATGTATTTGTTATTCATATTGTATGCCCCATATTCTTTGTCGTTTATGAATTAATTAATAATTGTTATTTGTTGAATTTGTTTGTCAAATTCACCACTTGATATTTTGCATAACAGGTTATATTCAGCCACCACGATGACAGCCTCAATCGGACAAACATGGTAGTTTTATATTTCCTGCTTTGGTATTTTTTTTAGTATTTATTTTAGTTATTGTATTTTTCCTTTTGGGTCTGGATAATCGTTCCATGTTGTTATTTTAGCTTTGTTTGGACAGTTTTCTGATTTCATTTCAATTGTATAAGTGAACTATTTATTATGGAATAAAATATACACTTTTTGATTTATTCTTATTATTATTTGCATACAATCTTTCTTCTGAAAAAATATTTGCATACAATCTTTCTTCTGAAAAAAAAAAACATATTCAATTCATTTCATCATGCCTGTTGTCGGGGTGTACCCTCTTCCAGACCTGAGATGTGACAAACCTCTCTTCTATGAAAAGTCATGGAATAATAATATTATTTTAAGTATTTTTTAGGGTTTGGAAATCCTCTCTCCATAAGTTATAAAATCATGAAGAGAGAGAGAAAAGAAATCATGAAGAAAGAGAAAAAAAAATTTATGCCTTCAGTATTGATTTTTGTGAAGATTCTTGTGATTTCATGTGAATAAGGTAATGGCATTTACATTACTTTCAAACTAGTTTGGTACACTTCCATCCATTCAAGTAAAGTTCCGCAATCAACTTTTTCCTTAATTTCATTTTAACTTTCACTCACTTTCATAAATTTTCCATTTTTAGGAATTTAAGCATTTGAAATTTTTTTAATAATAAGCAACTTATAAAAATTTGTAAAGGTAGAAAAGTATTTGCTTAATTTTTCATTGTTTTTTTTTAGATTTTATATCTTTAAATTTAGACTCAATCACTCTGGTGTGTTTGTAGGTTTCTTAACATTAAGGTTGGGCTGATTTGAAATATTGCATCATCAACGTAACACATAGGTTTGACTGAACTAAGTGTCAATGTGGTGTCAAGGAGTTCCATTAAACATAGAAGTTCCAATTATTTGACAAGCTGAGATATTAATTGGGATGTCAAGTGAGGCTGATAATTACTTTTTATCTTCTTCATAAACTAAATTAGAGAACCGGTATGATAGTCATCAATAATATCAAGGAATTATTTTATAGGTTGAGCTGATGATATAAGGAACCGTACCTCAAATCCAAGGAAAGCTTATTCAAGCAGACAAAAAAAATATTGGTATTCATTGAGGAATGGTTGGGCATATTGTATAAAAAACAATGTTCATTTATTAGAATTAAATGAAAATATGACACTAAATAGGACACAATGGAGAAAAAGGATTCACGTAGCCGACCCCACTAAGTGGGATAAAGGTTTTGTTGTTGTTAAAGCAAACTTTAATTATGAGCTGGGAGCCTAAGATAGCCTCAATATTTACCCAATTGGGAGAGAAGAAAGCTTAGTGTCAATTTTTTTTTTTGTTTTGACGAGTGCTTTAAACCTTCTCCTAATGCGATGCACAAGATTTTATTTTTGCTTCAAAGCGCAAAGCAATGCTTTTATCAACTAAAACGCAGATAGGTTATATAACTATGAATGTATAATTACATTTATTAACAATTGTAAATTATAAAATATGGCATAAATGTTAATATAAAATAAAGAAGAATGTGGCATGATACTTAATTTTAAGGAAAACATCAAGGGTGAACCTACAAATTAAAATTTTGAACAATCTATAATAGTTTGCTGCAATAATTAAAAACTAAAAAATTACAAAAAAAAACCCTGCAAATTAACTTCGGCTTCGGAGCACGCTTCACGAAGCAGTCATCCTGCGATTCGCTTCACTATGCTTGTGAAGCGTGCTTTTTAAAAAATTATCTTTTTTCATAGGAGTATTTATATAGAAGGAAAGAACACTTTGAGAAGGCTAAAACATAGGTTGATGAGATTAAAGGGGTTGGAGAGCATCCTCCAAAATCTTAATACAAATGGCAAGTAGGAAAAGACAGAAAGAAGCGCTACCAAAGAGTAGCTTTCCAAATTTGAATGGTTAAGTCAATAGGGAATAACGAATACATTACAATTTATTGTATAATATATCCTTGCTAAAGCAAGATTCATTGATTGACTCTATGTGTATACATTCCAACATATAATACATTGTACCCAATTTTCACATCACATACTTGTCATAAAGTAGATTTGTAGTAGTATAACACGTATAACAAGATAATGAATGTATAATATGTCCGTTACTAGGAGCGTATTGCATATTATGTTCTAGTAATATGCTCGGAATTCAAAAGTATACAGTAGATAAAATTGAATGGATATGCTTTTGGGGCAAGGCATTAAAATTAACAGTTACTACAGTGCAGAGCTTTTGGTAATTTTATTTCTTGTTGTGAACATGAATGAGTAACTCTCCTAAAAGAAAAAAAAAACTACAAAAAAATGTACGTCTCAAGAAAGTTAACATTTCTTTGAAGATACTGTTAAGGAAATTATTGATCAACATTTTTTATTAATATTGTCCCTATAATGTAGTAGTTTCTTATAATAAATTAGTAATGATAAAAAAATTCAAATTCAACCACTTTTGTCAATAATAAATCCACACCCTACTAGGAAAATGCAAATGTGAATACCTTGAAATGTGAATTCATGCACCAGGACCTATCTTCAGCATCATTATCTAGAACATCATTCATAACTGAGCCATCGTTTTGAAGAATAAGGTACACTGCTAAAGTTGCAAGGGCCTCAATAGGAGATGTGTCAAAGGACTCGCATCGCACACAAATTTCAATGCTTACCTGAGAAATTATAGTTAATGAATGCAATGTAACTTCAAAATGTGGATATTGAAACAAAACCTTTCGCATATCAACATCTGTCCATGCTATTCCTGCTGCAAGACACAAGTCTTTCTCAATTTTGAACTTGTCAGTTTTGATAGATTCTTTTGGAACACCAAACCTTGGAGAACTCTTAACAGGTAATTTGATTTTCTTTTTAATAGACTGCAAAACCTGTGAAGGCACATCGAGTCCAAACTTGACAAGAAATCTGGAAGCAATATTCTGCAAAATACTGCTTAGCCTTCCAATCAGTTCACTGAGAAAACCAAAAGAGAAAAAAAGCCTATGAATTTTTCGTATTAAACCATGTCTTTCTAGATCATCTGATAATCCAATACATTCAAGGGCCAAAAACAGGCACTGTTCATGTAATCCGTGTAAATCATTTGAAGAAACTACCGAAGCAATGCTTAGTACAGCAATCTGAGCTCTAGAAGATGTTGCTGCATTAAACAAACTCTTTATTTTATCAGTCAACAATAATTCGACAAGAGCCTTATTAGACAACTCAGTTGCCATGCAAGAGCATATATTCGCTGATGCAATAATTAGCCCATCAATATGATCGGAACTTAGATCATTTTCTGCAAGGACTAAACCAAGAGAAGACCTGAGAAGTTCCATAAGGGACTTTGAAGATGAACCCTCTGACAAAGCAAATTCACAAAATCTTGCAGCAGCATCTAGAGATCTTCTCATAAGTGCATTAAAACGGCTGCATGCCTCCTTTGGATCCAGATTTGGTGGGAAGTAAGAGGGAATGAGAAGCCTGGTTATTTTTCTAGCAACACGCTCATGATCATTGGCTAAGGAAGAAAATAAAGTATCTAAACTGACAATCTGAAAGAAATAGAAGAAAATTACGAGGCAAGCATATCCCAAAAAAATAAGAACTGAAAATAGAAATATGATAAATGTCAAAGCAATTAGGACGTACCTTTTTAAATTGGAATGATCGAATGTGTCCAACCACTAAAAGCAAATCAGTAGCAGCAATGCGAACAGAAAGAGAAGGATCAGACAGCACAAAATTAAGTTTTGGAAGAAGAACTTTCATAATTTCATGACTCTGAGGGTTCTCAAGCAAATATATGATTCCATTTAAAGTAGATAGCCGAACTTCATTGCATATATCACGTGTCATGTCATCAATAACCTTTCCCAATATTTTTGTTATTGTTAAAGAAGGAATAACTTCCCAAAATAAATTGAGAATACGACATAAACCTTCAACTGCCACTCCTCTAACCTCAGGGCAGTCATCCGTAAGCAACTTCTGCAACAGGAAAAATTGCCTCTCAAGTAAGGTATCCTTTTCTTCTTTTGTAGCATCAGGATCTTCAAGTGGAAACAGATCTAAGAGTAGAAACAATGCATTTTGACGAACATTGGAGTTGGCAACCTAACAAACGCATAAAATAGCAGATATTATTTGTAAGAGATCAAACATATCTGCAATTAAGTTGTGCGGCACAAAATCAATTCCCAGCTTAAGTTTGATAGCTTATTCATGGGACACTAGATAGATGGGTAAGAAAAGAAGTGTTTGGGAATAAGAATGAACATTGAAAAAAAAAACAAAATAAAGATGACATGAATTATCAGTCCCTTTCAGGAGAAATTTTCCTCGTGCACACTGAAGACAAATATAGATTAATATGATTAAGAGATAGCAGAAATAAACATTCAGAACCAATGAAGTAAGAATAAAAAACTCAGGAAAATACAAAGAACAGTATTCCATCTTTAAAATGGGAAAATGATGATAGTTGACATCAAGTTCAAGGGACGGAGACGAAGAAGAGGGGGTAGAGATTGTCCTATACAATTTCAAACTTATCTTGGCATTATTTTACAACATTTCATAAGATAAGGTTCACTATAAGATATGCAGTTCTAGCGTGAAACTATCAATTAGTCAATCATGATGGAAAATTAAGTAATGCAGTGGTTTGGTAAAATAACAAAGTTACTTGAACGCAGTATTCTCATGTGAATATAAATGAAAACAAACAGAAAACGAAAATAACAAACAACTAAGAGGTGCAATTACAGTTGATTTCACTCCACGCCAGCCAAATAAAAGAGTTGATAAAAAAATTTCATGTCATTAGTCTCTGACTGGATTTGAATTTAAGGTGATTTAGATCTGAAAATCTAGAAAATATGTAAGATTAATTTCTTCAAAACAAAGACAACTAAGGAATTAGTTATTTTGTACCCAAAGAAAAAAATCATGCATTAAAACTACAACAAAAAACAAAGAGAAAGGGTGTTTTAAAAAATCATTGCTTAGCAGAAAGTTGAATACAATCACCACCAAGTAATTATACATTCATAAAACAATATACGTTCAAATATCATTATGAATGTGAATCCTATACTTGTTCTTGGGTATCCACATGGTGGAGCTGAGAGTCAACCCACTTTTATAGATTTGGGGTTCTAAGAACAAGCTCAATAATGCATTCGGCTCAATAATCTAAGAGTAAGTTGGAATCGATTAGGTTGCAATTTATACCCATTCATATGCGCACAACAACCAAGCTGATTATGAAATTTTAGATTAAATCCAAAGAGGACAGGAGCCATATATGTCAAACCATTTTTATATTAGGTATGTTGATTTGATTTCAATAAAAAAGACAGAAATGTGCTGATTTTATATGCCTGACATACACATTGACCCCATGAAAAATATGTATAATATATTTTAATTCCTTTCCTAGCTAGCACTGTTATGGTCCTTGTAAAATCCAATAATATAAAACATCAAGAGGAAAGAACGTCTCACTAAGAATTCCTTCAAATTACAACTTTATACAAAGGATTCTCACTCTTTTATTCAAATGTATTCGTGGAAACATGCTAGCTAAGATTGGTCAGAATCAAGGTCGTAAATGTGGCACCCAAGGTAAGACCCCTAATAAAGTTCTGCACTTGCCAAACAATGGTCTAGAATTGCCAAATGCCTCCTTTCCAAGTATCACAGACCAACCTGTTTTATAGTAAACAAGTGCCACTAGCCAGATACAAACACTCTACTCTTAACAAGCTTAAGATTTGCAATTCAAAGCCCTAATTTAAAGGCACAATGATTCATTTGCACAATTTTTTTGTTTTTCTTACATGTCAATTATGCTTGGAAGCCTTATAAACTTTGTTGTGTGCTTTGTTTAAATGCATCGAGCACATATGTTTTTGTTTTTTTTTCAATATTTGTAGCCTCTTTTATAATTTTTAAAACAATTTTTAAAATCTATTTATAATTTCTAGACAACATGAGAATCATACATCTCAAAATGAGATTGACAGTTGTTACGAATGCGTATACCATCTAAATTTTTTTTTAAATGTATAAACCACCCTCCACATCTTCCTCAATTTATAAACAGGAAAAGTAAGCCACTTCAACTTCTCCTTTTGTCTTCCTTTTTTATTCATACATATCATTTCTAATCCTTCTTAACCTACAACATGAACAAATAAATATATTCCTTCTAAATAATGTAATATGAGGCTGCAAACATCATTCTTTTGGTTTTACTAGATATTGTTTATGTTATACTAAGGTGGGAAAAATTTTAAATAAATGCTTGCTACTAAATTGTATTATTATTTTGATGACGATGATGGAGAAATTATAGTTTAAGGAACATAATGGCAGACTAAAGCTGTACAATAATAATAAAAACTAATCCAACTAGATGGCGAGGAAACCAGCATTAAACTTTCAAAGCATTTACTTAAAAATTCATCTATCAATCGATCTCCCTATACTAGATGGTGAGGAAACCTACATTAAACATTCAATGCATCTATGTAGTGCATTCCATTTTTTCGGAATATGCCATCTTCCAAAGCAGAGAGATGACAAATAGTAAAGCTCTAGTAAGTTTGGCAGTAAAGCTGTTAGTAAGTTTGGCTCTCGAGAAAAGAAGTGCATAATGAGCATGAACAGAGAGAAGACTACATGAAATTCAATTATGAGTTTTTAAGGAAATTCTTTCATGATAATCATTTTTTAAGGATTGTAGTTAGTGTGGAGAAGAAGCCACAAAAGAGCAACAAGAGAGGTGTACAGAAAGAAAAAAATAATGAGAAGTATGTGCTTTGAAATTCAAATTAGCTTCTTTTATTAATATAGTATTTTAAAATTACTTCAAAGCGTGTGTAAGAGAAACAAAAAAAATCAAGCAAGTTGCTTTTTCAATTATTTTTCTAAAAATAACAATCATACTAAGACATCTTATGTAAAAATCAACAATTATGATGAAAGTGAAAGTAGGAACCCACAAAAAATTCACACTCAAATCGCATGCAATTCCCATGGGAAATGAAAGATTTCTACCCAAATCAGTGAGAAGAGCTCTAGATGATAAGATGAATTTCATATTTTATTCTTTTTTTATGAAAAAAATGCATATTGTCGAATAGATTTACTAAGTTGGCAAACAAGAAAGTTCAATAGAACTGCAATGGCTTTCCAACAATGATAAAATCACATAATTCTAACAAAAAAAAACCAAATCAGATAGAAGAGATCAATCCTCAATTAGACTAGCATGCTCGCCGCATTTTATTCACCCAGAGTCTAATTTTAATGTAGCTTAGCCCACCTAAATTATTTTGACATTTTGGATGCTTCAAAATAGTGCATCTAAAAACGAGCAGCATGCAAGCATTCTTTTCATACAAACATGACTTTCTAAGCCAATTAACTTTCTCTTCTATCGTTATTGTCTCATCAAATAGATCGTAGTTGTGGAATACATGTAAGGACCAATAAATAAGATAGTCAAAAATATGCAATTGAGTCAAGACGTATGTTGAGCGAAATTATGTTGGGTCATTTTTTTATGTCATGACCCATGTTGAGACTTTATGTTATTAAATTTGATCGAAAGTATGACAATAGTGTTTGGTTTGACTATATATTTAAGCGTCATTATTTCTCTCATTATTCCTATAGCTAGTGAATATGTTATAATACTAAGCGCTTGTTTAACGCATGAATGAATGAAGTTTTAAACAACTTCGACAAGAAGATAGACTTATGGACAAAAATTGTCCATTAAAAAAAAAAAAAAACCAAAAACTGAAGACCAAGAGTAGATTCATGGTGAAAAGTAGCATGGGGAATATTATTTTATCACCAATGGAAATAATTGATTGCGATTGTGAGGACTGAAACTATGAAAGATTGTTCACGAAGACTAGATGCATATTTTCTCAATAGTGTGGATTTAAGGTGTGGTTTCTTGTAGATACAAATGTCCATATGTATCCGAGAAATCGTAAATCTACACAGTTGATAAAATATATAGGATGTATGTATGTATGTATGTATGTATGTATTTATTTATTTATTTATTTATATATGTGTCACTTCATTTCTATTTGATTTCAATTTGATATTAGAATATGTTAATCTTGCAATCATAATGTTTTGTTTTGAGCTAAATTTAGCTTAAAGCTAAGGTGTACTTTTTTCCAATGTATTAAGCATATTTAACCGTCCTAAACTCTTCAAAGTCTGAATGGAAGATGTAGGAGCTTTTAAAAAATTAATTTGTGAGAAACATTAGATTATATGTAATTGATGTTTGTGTGAGCATTTCAAAGATTAATGTGAGAAGCTTAGATTATATGAAATTAATGGGTGTTGTGAAATTTACATACATACCACACAATTCTTATATATTTACATATTTAACATCTAAAGTTCATGTCTACATGCATAATCACATTAAAACATATTTATAAAAAATGTGTGCTTCACTTTACAAAAATTAGTATTCGTGCTTTTTATGCGCTATTTAAATGAATATTAAATTTTAGATTTTAAATACGCAAACATATAAGAATTGAATTGTATGTCCGTAAATTTTCCATTATTTTTTCATATTAAATCTAAAAATTAACTTAGAGCTCATCATTTTCATGCATCCTGCCAAACTGTGCCATGCCATGCAAATGGTGCCAAGAGGATCACGTCGCCCCAGTCCTAATAGCTATGGCGCATCCTATTTTCCGTCATTGAGTATGGTTCTTCCATCTTATTCCCATAAACAATCACTTATAATGTAAATCACTTGTTATATAGATGGACAAATATGTTATTTTTTTGAATGAAACCCATAACTTTGACAAAAAGATGGACTTTGAACTTGAACGGGTGTCTGCGCACACTCCAAAACTTTAAGCAAAGCAGGATCAAGAATTGTACTAACAACGATACTAAATAAGCTCGAGAACTGCTAAGACCTTTGAAATCATCGTAGCATTAGCACTCCAAATGTAATGACTCAACATTGATACAAATAAAAGCAAGTAAAATTAACCTGCAGTGATCGGAATAACACGGGCTCAGCCAGACGGAACAGAACCTTCTCAACACCTGGTGTTGTCCTCTGACCAACAAACCCGTTTACAACCTTTCTAATAGAAGCAGCAAACTGCTTCGTATTTGCATGTATAGCACCTTCAATGAGGTCCTGCAAAAAGCCATCCTCTATCTCTAATGTCACGGAATGTTCTGATCCCCTCCAAGCCTTAAAAATTATATCAGCATAGCCCTCGAGCACTGACTTTTTCCCAAAAGGAATTTGAGATTTAATTAATGCAAGAGCCTCCTTCAACAGAAGGCCGTTTAAGCCCACCATGAAAGCAATAAAACTCCTTCCGTCCTTTGTCTTCAAGTACAACGGGTTAATCACGCATCGAACTAGCAAAAGTCTCAGGTCCTCAATGCTCTCATCCTCGTAATCAAATAAAGTAAATGCCTCGCGAAAAGCATAAATCCGACGGACATCAGTCTTCTTACAGTGGGTTAGAGATTTTGATAGTAGGAAAGGGAGGGACTGGGAAATTAGTGACTCCCTCTCAGGCAAGTTATCCTTCCACCACCATTCACACAGACTAGCGACTTCAGACATAAGGGAAGGGTCATCGTACAGAACGAGGTTGTCATGAAGAAACTGCACAAGAGGGAGTAAGTCGGACGGAGAGAAGAGCTTCTTCGGATGGGAAGCGCAAAGGTGAGCGATGCACGTGTAAGCTCGTAGCTTCTTTTGAATATCTAGGATTTGGGAGCGAGACCTCGGAGGCGTTGCCCCGCAGCCAAGGTCATCGGATCGTTTGAGCCGTGCAGAGCGTCTAAATTTCTTCGGCGCGGGTGGGGTAGAGCATCTGATGTCTCCGACGGCAGCGACATCCACAGCGCCGCCAGATTTGAGGGATAGCATTAAGGATTCTAGGGCATTCAAGATAGCGAGGTGTAGAGCGGCGGGGAGAGAGGAGACGAGGCAAGAGGAGGGACCGATGCTCCAGATTATGCTTTTTATTTCTGCTTTTCCAGGCTTGGTGGAGATCTTAGAGGCCGCGGAATAGAGAAGTTCTTCAGCGGACGATTGAACAGAGGAGCGCAGTCTCTTTCCCATTAGATGTAATGCTTGAGAATTCTTGAATCCTAGGGTTGGTAGAAGAGGAGAGAGAACGAGGCGAAGTCCACCATTAGCATAACTCGAGTAGAAAACGCAGAGATGGTCCTCTAGGTTTTTGTTTGTTTCGAAAGGGCGTGGATTTTGGCGCGCTGCTGCAGTTTTTGGAGATACAAATGGAAATAAATCCAGCTCTCCGTCCACTTTGTGTGCCACGTAGATATAAACCCACGCGGCAAGCGCTGTAAAATGATATGTCGAATATAAGATGGTCTTTTCACATATACATATGAAGTTATGAAAAACTACACATATATCTAACTTTTTTAAATTTTATTATTTATTTATACAATATTTTAATATCATTAACAAATCTAAATATATGCACCGAAATTTATTTTCGCTTAATTTTAATACTATTAACATATTTAAAGGACTTAAAATTTTAAATATTGTATAAATAAATATTAAAATTTAAAACCATGCACATTCATTTAAAATTCATGCAATGGTTCTCCCTCAAAATGAAGTACGAGAGAGACTTAAAATTTTAAATATTGTATAAATAAATATTATAATTTAAGTATTAAGCATGTTTGGGGCGTGTATGCTCCAAAAATTCATGCAATGGGTCTCCCTCAAAATGAAGTACGAGGGGACGAGAGATTTATATTAAGTTTCAGGGTCAAATTTTTAAAAGATAATTGGAATTATAAAAAATATACTACTTATAAATTTTATCATTATTTTGTGAGGATTTTAGTTTCAAGAATTCCTAATAGACACAAGTCCTTATTTTTAGTTACTCGTCTCGAAAGCAAAACATCACTTTCAATTAAGACCCATTAGCAAACTGATTGCTTGGGGTAGAGTGTCAACATATAAATTTTAGATTATGAAAAAATTTTATCATAAGCTTGAGAACATATGTGGGGGGAATTATAATGAATGCAATTAAGATATTGTAGGTTTATCATCATAGGTTTTCCTAGTCAGTTTATTTAATCAATGAATGTATTTGACCTAATATGTCAAAATGATAATTATTAGCGGTCACGGATTGCTTAATCTAATATAATATTATAAACATTGGGTGAATATATATTTAAGGGGATAAATTTAAGCCAATCTTAGGTAACAAATGGTTTGGTGCACAATTAGGTATAACATATAATTTACAACTTAAAAAATAAAAAAAAATTAATTAAAGAACATATGAGCTATAGATATTTCAGTAGTATAATAATATTTAATTAGCCAAATCACCTGATCAGACCTCTTATTGTAACCATTTTATTTGTGGAGTCTATTGCCCCAATCAAGCGTACAAAAAACTCAAGCCACGTTTTAGAGACAGAAGATTATTTTGAGTGTGAATGTAATAATATATTTAATACAACATTAGAACTTTATGGACTTTGAATAGATGTTTCAACATCATATAAATGTTTAATTGGCTAAACCACCCTTGTGGAGGGTGATTTTGCAAAATCACGCAAGTATAAGACATTCTATCTAAAGTTTTAGTGATTAGCTTCATGTGATATTTTAAATTTTAGAATTTAAGAGTTTTTTTTTTAAGTGTACCCCTAATATTAAGATTTACATTCAACATGACCAATTTCAAGCATCTGAATAATATTATAAATTATTGTTTTTGTCTCACATATATAAAATTTAATTTTATAACTTATATTAAATGAACATATTGAAATGTATTTTTAAGCTTAATTTTGAAAACAAAAATCTCTGCTTGAGATTCATGACTAATACGTCGATCATCGAAGAATTTAAAATTTTAAATTTGTTATATGAGAGCTTGATTTTATAGGTGAATTCATCTAGTTGAGATTTGCATTTAACACAACCATGAATAGGAATTAATTAAAGGCTATTTGAAAATCTCATATTTGTGATTCATTTAAAAGTTTTTCTTTAAATATCATTATAAGCATTAGCCTTATTAACTCAAGTACATGCAAGGAGAATGATTAAACTTTTTCAACTTTAATTACAGGTCTTATCAAAAAGAGGATCAGATTGGCTAAGTTGGGTCTTAGTCTCATCAACTTTATTCCCTATATTGAGGAATATCATATTAGCTCCTATAAAAAGTATGCGCTATTTAATAACTATAGGTTATATTTTTATAAGAAAATGTAAGAAACTTAATATATTAACGTGCTTTTGCGGTGGATTAAACTTGATTTTAAGCTTATTTTCTATATGTAACGGTCTCAAAATGTTAATTTTGAGCATTTTAAGGTTCATTTGAGTCAACTTAGTATGCATGATTTTTCGTTTAATTTACTTTAAACCCACGAGGTATCCTTGAGTTATGTATTCAAATATAAGATATAATTGATAGGAGCATAAATCTGTTTGGAACTTGATAGTGTACATACATCTCAGTGCAATTAAATGAATTTTGATGCACTTGCATGATGTAGTTATATGAGTTTTGATGCATTGGGAAGATTATCTCAAGATAAGCACATATATATTAAAGATAGTAAAAATTGGTTGAGCTCATATGCTTTTGAGGTGAATGCACGCTCTCTCTTACATGAATTTTGATGCGGTATATTTGAGTTGAAGAAAACACCATAATTCATGTAAATTATGAAATCATACAAAAAATTTGACTGCTTGGATGTAAATTTGAGTCGCTGAGATGCATGCAATATTTAATTTTGGGCATTTGATTTCCCTTTTGACAAGCTTGTAGGTTGGTGTTACATATCAGGTAGTGATTAAGGCGAGGTGGAGTTTATCTAGTTTTTAAGATGATGTATTTGGTCCTCATTTATTAAATTTTTAATAAGCATGGCTCATGAAATCCTCTTTGAAGTTGTCACTTATGATATATATATGCACTATCAAAGGTCGTTCGTGCTTGTCGACAAACTATTGGGCTCCTTGTAAGTCCCGTTGGAAATTTACAAGTCTAATTTGAATTTTGCACTCAATAGATGAGATGCTTTTAAGTCTTTTACAAGTTTCATTTGAGCTAATTAAAGAGCTATCAAGTTTCTTTTAAGTTTCATGCTCGCTAAATGAGCATTTAGTTGTGTTCCTGCAATATAACATAATAGTTTGAATGTTCAATGAAAGAGAGTGAGCTATCAAATCTCCCATTATCCAATTTTATATTTGATCTTTGTTTAGTTCTGGTACTAGAAATTCATTTGGCAAAACATGTGTTGTATTTGAAATATTAATTATGATTTTTTTAGGAAGATTTACATATGTACCACTCAATCATATGTATTTACATATCTAACACCTAAAATTCATCTTTTACATATCGTGCAACTAAAACATGTTTGCATGAATCTCGAGGAGATACAACGAACAAAAGGATAAAGGAGTATGACTAAGAAGGGCTCACAGGCAGAAGGCCAAGTATCCGCTAACAAAGGATTAACGGACCACGGGCAGGAGACCAATAGCGAAATATCAGAGAACCTACTTGACTAGGTGCAGGCCCTATAAATTGGGGCTAGAGGCCTACTGAATGCAAGTCATTTGAACTAAAGATGAAAGATAATAAAATAGTCATCGTCCCAACTCTCACCACAACCCGACTCAATGGTGGAATTCAGTATAGTCAGCCATCTCACGGACACCCATGAGATTCCTCATCCAAGGCCGAGAACTACCAATAGCATAATCACATAGAGCAGCTTGAGGGATCTCCTCATCAAGGAGTGAATGACTTATCGTATTATAGTGAATCACCCTCTGCTTAATTTCCCAGCCTTGGTCTACCGACATTAGTTCATTGTCCGGGGATCAATAGTTGGTAATCAAACTAACACAACCAATTGACAAAGCCAAACAAATTGAGTCAATTCTTGTTGACACGAAGACCATCAAAGGCCAAGCGAAAACCTTGACTCGGTATAATTAGATGAATAGGTCTTTCTGAATCAGAATCAATATATTCCAGCCGACTGAGTCATAAGACAGCCAAACCAAAGGCCTATACATGTAAAATACCTAAAATATCATGTGAAACCCCTATAAAAGCAACGAAAAACATATAATTTCATATGTTGTAATCCCCTCATCTATAAATAAGTGGAACATTTCATGAGAAAAAGCTAATCAACAATTCAAATTAGTGTTCATTATTGTGCACTTCCTTATATATTTCACTCTCTCTCCCTCATGTCTTAAACTTTATTCCTTGGGTGTGATTCACGGACAAGCCACAATTAAACTTCATAAAAGGTGTGGTAAGGATACATTAAGCCACATACAAGAAAAGGAGAATCACACGGAGCTTAAAATCTTAATAGAGAAATTATTAATATGGAATGCACCAGGGAGCTTGTGAAGCAACAAATTCAGGAGCTAAAAGACCAGACAATGGATGCCCTTACAGAGTTATTAGCTCGAGGAAGGGAGCATAACCCCAAGGAGGAAGGGCTGACATAGAACAGGCATTGGGAGCATAAATCTTGAGAGGAAGGATTGACACAAAATAGGCAAAAGGGAGCAGAATCCTCAAGAGAAAGGGCCAACACCCAAAAGGAAAAGGCAATCATGGTTGTGGAAAGGGAAGGAGATTCCTAATAACTTGATAGTGTTTGGTGGGCATCAATAAATAAGCAATGATTCAGACATGTTGAGGTGCCTCATTGGATAAAGAACACATTCTCTTATATATTTTTGAAAACAAACTTTAAAAAGATATAAAATTCTCGCTCTAGGATCACACAAGGTTTGGATTAATCTGGTTGACAGCATAGCTTCTTTCAAGTCGACCTCTTGCTAGCTAAAGATCATAGAGCGATATTGTTCTTTACTATGTCAAGGGAGTCGACCCTCATGTGATTCAATGGATTGTCACCACGGGTGATCACCTCATTTGTTGATTTTAAGAGGATGTTTGTGCACAATTTGTCAACGTCTGGAAACCAAAAAAAATCACAAGCCCTTATGCAGATAAGACGAAGGTGGAATGAGAGCCTCCCTCCTGCATCACTTGATTCCAAAAGGAGATAATAGAAGTGTGAGATCTAAAAAACTTGTAGTAGCACATGTTGCCCTTTTTTTAAGGGCTAAAGGAAAGTTCGTTTCAGTATGCTTTGGGTCTATAATGGTTGAAGACCTTGACTGAGTTGTTGGACCTAACAAACAACTATATATCGGT